AGACCCACGCTGACAAAAGGGGTCCTTCCGACTAAGAAAGGACCTTCCTTCTTTCTGTAGCCTCCAAGCGAAGATCACCGAATTAAAGACAGTACTGTTCAAATAGAGTTTTATCACATTATTATTTTACGCCCAAACGTGTTGTTTTACAAGAAAAATTTATAGCAAACATCCCGAAAACTTTATAGTGATGGATAATACACCATATCACTCGGTGCAGATAGATAAAATACCTACTACACATGCCAAAAAAGCTGCTATAACTTATTAACTAATAAAAAATAATGTTACATATAATAATAGGATGAGAAAATACCAACTATTTCAAATAATAGAAAAAATAAAATAAATGAAAATTTAAAACCAGGTAAAATTAACGTTTTAAGAATAACGCTGAACAGGCACAATTTAAATTCGACAGAGTTACGGTAGGCAGAAATAAGAAAAAAAATAAGATCTAATACCATTAGTGTCCTGTTACCTACGAAAAATATTTTTTCATGCAATGTCCTTCAATCTCTGGCAGGGATCGCCCTAAATAACCTCTCGTAACCCTTCATCTAAATAACCCGAGCTATTGTTTGGTTTCACTGGAAACTAGAGCATCTGGAATGTTACTCAACATAACCGTACCAATACTCCATACAGCCGGCTCTACCTCTTTTTTGAGGTACAGTGACTCACAATCAAAACCTTACACCACACAAAAAAATGTTTCATATTGAAAAAAAATTTAGAGTTAACTTGGAGAAGAAAATATAATGAATATATATTGTTAATATATCCACATTTATTGTGTAGTAATATGAAACGATATTAACCTTCGTAAATATATAAAAAAATAAAGTTACTATATATTACTAAATATTTAGTCTATAAAATACCTCACAGTTAAAATCGTACAGTATACATTTTGTTGGTACTCCTACCAAGGAATCCCCGAAAACAAATGAATAATTTTAAACAAAAGAATGCTAAATTGTTACGGCCTTTCAGTAAAGTCGCATATTGTTATACTCAGAAAATACAGCAAAAAAAATAGTAAAAATGAAGCAAACATCGGTAAAAATGCAGCAGATCGTTTTAAAGTGTTTTGATAGTGGCAAAAACTACCGAGAAATTTCTAAAATAACTGGAAAAAGTGCAAGTACCATTCAGTATATTGTACGACGTTATACTGTTCTTTCGTACATGCGGTCAACGTACTTTCTGCACCTCAAATAACAAATGAGATGGACAAATATTTGGAAACACATATTAATCTAGAAAAAATTAGGAGAGTTTTGCGGAAGAATACTTTTCACGGTAGAATAGCTCGGAACAAACCGTTTATTAATCAAAAAATAAGCAAAAGGGGCTGGAGTTTGCAGAACAATTTTTAAATAAAGATTTTAATTTAATTTATGGAAGGGAGTAATATTTACTGACGAAAGTAAATTTAATTTTTTTCAATCCGATGGTACAGTTAATGCATGGCGCAAACCAAATCAGGAATTTAAAATACAAAATTTATATCCCACTGTTAATGGTCAGGGATTGTGTATCAGCTGCTGATGTTGGTAATTTGGAATTTATCAACGAAAATATGAATGAGTATGATTGTTTACATACCTTAAAAAAAAAGAATTTAAAAAAAACAGTGCTGAAAAACTAGGCATTTTGGAAATCTTTAAAGTTTATAGAAAATATTTGGAACGAGTTAGAAGTAAGAATACGAAAACACACAATTTCAAATAAAAACATTAATAGAAGAATAGAATAATATTGAATCTGATGTTACTGAAAAAGTTGTGAGATTGTTGCCAAACAAATTAAGAGCCGTAGAATGTAGTCCAGACTACCCTACAAAATATTAATTTTAAATTCAAAGTAAGATTAGTTTTAACTTATTAATATTTTTTATACGTGTACGATTTTAGCTGTGAGACACTGTATAGACCAAATGTAGTAACTTTATTTTTTTTGTACTTACAAAGGTTAGTTTCGTTTGTTATTGCTACATAATAAATATAGATACATTGACAATATGTATTCGTTGCACTTTCTTTCCAAGTTAACCCCAAAGTTTTTTACAACATGAAACATATTGTTTTGCATGATGTACAATTTTGGTTGCGAGTCACTGTATATAAACCTGTTAATTTTTACTCACACCATTTCAGAGTCAGTTAGACATTTGTAAGGTGACATCGGTCAAGACTAGTTTAGAATCTCATGCTGTCACGTCGGTCCAAAAACGTAGAAGCATTCCTGAAATCATATTATTCATGCTTTATAAGAATCGATTTCAGAGAGATCGAGTTAAAGTTCCCTTTCAAATCAAAATTAACCTTGTAGCGGCTAACAAAGCGCCAGGAGAAGAACTTTCGGCATGCAAGAGTTAGTGAGATTTATGGTACGCACAATGTAAGACGCTGTTTTTGAGAAAGTGTTCTTAGGATTTTTTAGCCATTTGGCGGCCAGACTTGTCCACGTAGTCTAGCACAGCAATCTTTAATAGCGCCAGTGGATATCATAAATCTTGGGTTGCTTAAAGGCTACAGCTCAAGTTCGAGAAAGCGCACGCCTGGTTTTCGTCAGCCGGCGAAAGTAGATGCCAGTTAGGCGGGACCAAGGCTGCACGATGCACTTGGGACTGGGCCAGAAAAACACCCCACTGCATCACCTAAAAGAATTAAGTTAACAACTACCCCCACTCTGAAAAAGCGCACTGAGGGTACAAAGAGTAGGCGCTCAGTTGTAAAATTCTCTGATTGGTGGAAACCCGTGCGAACAGAGTCCACCAATCAGCAGAAGACTTTGCAACTCCTCCTTGTAGAATAGAAGTAGATATAAGCGAGAACGAGAGTTAGAAAAAAGAGATTTTTTTTTGTGAGGAGATTTTCGTTAGTGACTGAAGCGCAAAGTCTGGCAACGACACAGTGTGTATAGAGCACTACAAATAAATCGTTTAGTACAAAAGAAACGAATATCGTGTGGACAATAATATCCAGGAATACAACCCTTTCCTCAACATTATGAACTTCGCAAATCTGGTAAAGCTCTATTTGGCAATCTTTCGGATCACTCTTAGACTCTACATTATCAGTGCGTCAGCGCCGTGCAATTTAGGTGTAAGAACGTTCCAGACGTCCCGCTTTCGAGAACGTTCGACGGCCCGTCATGCGTTTATGCGTAGCTATAACAACGGCGATTTGAGCGAGAAACCACTCGAGGAAAATGATAATTGACAATCGCAATCTAGAGGTGAAGCCTCCCTATGTTACGCATGCGACCACGCGCCGCAAGCAGTCTGAGCCTCAGACTCGAGTTCAGACTCAGAGGCCGTTGCTGCACAAATCCGTGGTTTATGTATTGAGAAACGATTGTCGTGAATAGATTGTGTCTTTTTACATTTAAGAGTATTCTCATTTTTATACTTATTACAGCTTTTCGATTTAGAAAAAAAATGTTATTCTTAAAATGATATCAGCTGTTATAACATTATATAATCAAATAAAAAATGAAATTGTTACTGTAGATAAATTTCCAAAACCCTGTGAAATGTTAAGCAATTCATTGACTATTTTCCATATTCTTTTCCAGATTAAATTACGCAGGTATCAATACACTTGGCAACTAATAAAAAAAAGATAGAAAGAAAATGGAAAAAGCAAGAAGCCAATCGTGACGGCAATGAGTTAAATTAGTTTATATCCAATAAAATAAAATATATGTTTTGATTAATAAGTTATGTTTCCATAAAGTATCTCTATGTATATACTGGATTATTCAATAAGTCTTCTTGCGATTTTCCTTAAAACTTTCCTTTTATGTTTTTTAAAGTGAACTTTCCTCATTATCTTGCCCACATGTGACATTATGTTTAGTTGTTTCTTTTGTTTTTAAGATAATTATCTAAAACTAGTTTTATAATATAAACTATAAGTATGGTCATGGTAGCAGCATGTACTGCAACAAGGGAACAAGAGAACTCTAAGTAATATTTCATGTTACTTAATAAAATAAATAATTATACAGATATAGTAGATAGATAATGTTTAAAATACAATTAACCCTATATGGTTCAAGATGTGATTTTTATTCATCTGGTTCATAGAAGGTTATAATAGTACAAAAAATAATTTTCTGCATCATGAATATGTGCTTTTGGAAGGCTTACTGCTTATATAAAATAAAAACAAATCAAAATAGGTGTATCATAAAATTTTAATTAAAATTAATGAAACAAATGTTGGAAAAAATACCAGAAAGCACTGACCCACTATTCTAAGAAAACTAATAGTGCTAATACTATATAACATGTTTCTTATGCTATATTAACCAGGTAAATGCATCTGACTAGTATACACGTCATCTTAAAGACATGAAATGATACTAATTCTTTCAATAATGAATTATTTATTTTTTTCAAATAAACATGTAATTCTTCTTTGTTTTGCTTTAGTTTTTCATTAAAATATACCCTAGATGTATTCGTCCTGCGTGTGACAAGTATATGCTTCATTCTTTTATTTCATTGCACGCAAAATGAGAGATTTTTTAAATTAAATTTCACAATTAATAGGTTAAACAAAAAGCGATACTTATAAATTCTCATATATTGGATAACAATCTGCAAATTATTTATTTTTTATTATGCACAGCTTTTAAAACAATTATTTTGGGAAATCAAAATCAAATTTTTAATTCTTATATATATTTGTGTTAACATTAAAAGCTATTCAAATGTTTTGCATAATATAATTCTACAAACATTCTTAAATAAGATAACACATATTTATCATTATACATATTTAAGTAAAATTCCCTTAAAGCAAACAAAATACTCACACACCAATTTTTCAAAAGTTTTAAAAAGTATTTTGAAAACTAAGAGTCCAAGATAAAACTGAATAATATCATACTATAAAGCAGACTTCATTTATATAAATACCCTCAAAGAAAGTTACAATATTGATTCTGTTTCTGTTTACCAAAAAAGAAATACTTCTGAAAAAACAAATGTGCAAGCAAAACTTAAAATATAATTCTTTCATGCATAATGTAGAATTTGAGAAATATTTGATTAATATAATGAAAAAAAAGAGTTAATTTATATGATTTTTAACTCACGTTCAAAAAAGTACACATTGATTCCATAATTTGATATACTGCAAAACAGCTCATCTTGGCAATTCAATATATATTCCTGAAAAAAATATACAATAGTTTTAATTGGCTGATTTGATCTGATTGCTTAAATTATATTTAGTTTCCAGGCATAGAAATGTTTAATGTTCTAAAATATATGGTTAGAGTAAACAAAATTCATTAAACACTGATTAATTATCTGAAAATTCTAACCAAAATTGAGCATTTATGTGCACATGAAATCAATTCTAAGTAAATATATACTTATACTGCAGTTAAAATATAAATGAACAATTATTTTATATTTCTTGTATATCTTGTAGGTGTAAATAAG